TCACTTTATGCTCAAGGCAGGAGAATTTATTCCTCAGTGCAAATGCTTTTTCACTTTCTCATCACTCTTGCTTTGTCTATAAGACCGCTCTATAAAACCTACAGAATTGTACAAAAATTCTCTTTTTGTTGGAACTAATTCTAGCAGAAGTAAATATAACAGGTCTAGAAAGTACAAATAAGCAGTGGAAATTACAGTGGAATCTACCTCCCAGACACGATTGTCCTCAAATTCTTATATTTCATAATTCATTTCAAAGTTTTTCTCTATCTATGTCACTGTCAAGCTCCACTAGACATTCCTTTATCTTCTTCCCATGGCAGTGAAGAAATGAAGTACTTAATTTTACAGTGCTATCACTGTAGCACTGGAGAACCATAAGGCAGGCTTCACCAGTCAGGTGGATTCCTCTGTTTGGAGAATGACATTCAGTACAAACGGGACTTTTTGTCCTTCTTATATAGTCTGAGAATGCTTTCTAGAAATGTTAAGAGAACAGTAGAATGAGATTGCCAAAGGTTTCCATAATGCAGGAACCAGAAAACATCAGTTCATTCAGTGGCATTTCCTTACTCTCTTTCTTTCATAGAATCACAGAATGGTTTGATCAGAATGGACCTTTAAAGATCATCTAGTCCAACCCCCCCTGCCATGGGCAGGGACTTCTTTCACTAGATCAGGTTTCTCAAAGCCCCATCCAGCCTGACCTTGAATACTTCCAAGGATGGGGCATCCACAACTTCTCTGGGCAACCTGTGCCAGTGTCTCACCATCCCCATTGTAAAAACTTTCTTCCTTATGTTCAATCTGAACCTACCCTCTTTCAGTTTAAACCTATTGCCCCTTGTCCTGTCACTACAGGCCTTTGTAAAAAGTCTTTTTCCATCTTTCTTATAAGTCCCCTTTATATATTGAAAGGCCACCATAAGGTCTCCCTGGAGCCTTCTCTTCTCCAGGCTGAACAACCCCAACTCTCTCAGCCTTTCTGCATAGGAGAGGTGTTCCATCCCCCTGATCATTTTCGTGGCTCTCCTCTGGACCCAGTCTAACAGGTCCATGTCTTTCTTCTACTGTGGGCCCCAGAGCTGGACACAGTACTCCAGGTGGGGTCTCAGGAGAGTGTAGTAGAGGGGCAGAATCACCTCCCTCGACCTGCTGGCCACGCTTCTTTTGATGCAGCCCAGGATACGATTGGCTTTTTGGGCTGTGAGCGCACATTGCTGGCTCATGTCCAATTTTTTGTCCACCAGTACCCTCAAGTTCCTCTCTGCAGGGCTGCTCTCAATCAATTCATCCCCCAGTCTGTATTGATATTGGGAGTTGCCCCGACCCAGGTGCAGGACCTTGCACTTGGCCTTATTGAACTTCATGAGGTTCACATGGGCCCACTCCTCAAGGCTGTCAAGGTCCCTCTGGATGGCATCCAGTCTCTCAGGCATGTCAACCGCACCACTCAGCTTGGTGTCATCTGCAAACTTGCTGAGGGGGCACTCGATCCCACTGTCTATGTCATTGATGAAGATATTAAATACTATTGGTTCCAGTACGGACCCTTGAGGGACACCACTCGTTACTGGTTTCCACTTGGACATTGAGCCATTGAGTATAATTATTTGGATGCAGCCATTCAGCCACTTTCTTATCCGTCTAACAGTCCATCTGTCAAACTTATATCTCTCAAATTTAGCAGCCAGAATACTGTGGGGGACCATATCAAAGGCCTTACAGAAGTCAAGATAGATTACATCCATAGCTCTTCCCTTGTCTACTGATGCAGTTACTCCATTGTAGAAGGTCACTAGATAAGTCAGGTGACTAATAATCCATGGTAGAGTGAGGAATATGTGCTGAGCATATCAGCACAGCTGGAATCCCTCTATAGAAGGAATGGGGAGAAACTGAGCCTCCAGGCAGAGCCCTACCCAGGTGAAAAACATTGCTTCTTTCCAGAACCCTTAATAATTTGCATTGGTATTACCTCTCAGGCATTTGCATTGATGGATCCTATGATAGCACTGCTAAAAAACAAATTTACATCTCAGTCATTACGCTGGCTAACCTTTGTTCCTACTGAAATCCTTATTCTCTGTTTCAGCATAGTGCTGTTAAGCAGTCCTTTTATCATTATCGTTTTCACAAAAAAAAAGCTTACTTAATTGTTGTCTTTTGAAAAAACATCTTTGAAAAGACACTCATTCCCACCCACAGAACAGATGTTTCACCTCCTGCATCAATTGCTCTTTTATTGGTTAATGGTTTAGGTTTACAAGCAAAAATGAAAGTGTTCTTGCCAAACCTATATTAAGATTAACCCCTCTGATGATAATAAACTTCAATTTCCTGTCCTTTTTGTCCACCACAACTCCTGCATCCCATGTCATCTGAACTATTTTCCAAGGCCTGAAACCACACAGTCACCTATTCCCCTCGTCCACTTCTAAACTTCCCTGTGACTCTTGCGAGTTCAAGGACACACTTTCACTTGTGGTGTCCCATCTGTCTAAAACTTATTTCCTCTTCTCCCTAAGCCACTGAATAATTTCTTTAAATCTCACCTTAAAACCTCCCTGCTCTCTTTAACCTATGATTCACAACCTCTGGAAAACATTTTTGTGATACCCTTTATGAAGCATGCACAGTAAAAAGGAAATTTATTGTAGTCTTGTTGAAGCAAGCTATACTTGAGGTACTAACGTGATTGTGGATTAAGGGTTCTATAGGGTCCACTCAAGATAGATTGACCCTTGCAGAATCTATTGAAGTCAGTATTTACATCCACTCACCCAAAAAACTCATAGCTACACCCTTGCAGGCTTATAGGCTGTTATCTTTCTTCTTGCCTTTGAACTCATAACTTTACTCCTGATGTCAGGTGACACCACTGAGTTTTGCCCAGCTTCAACAAGGTGCCTATTCTGGGTCCAGCAGAACTGAAGAAAAGGATGCCATTCCCTTATCTCTCCCTCCAGTACCATTTCCCTCATCCTGACTTTAGATACTCTCCAAAGAGAGCAGCAGTAGAAATGAAAAAATCACAGCACTCCTCTATTGATCCAACTAAATGATGGATGAAAGTTCATCATTGTTTCCTTATCTAAGCAGTCTGTGATAGATGGCAGATTCAGGTGTCTATTATAAAATCTGAGAAAGACAAACAATTTGATCTTAGATTGGTTCTATCCAGTTCAATGAGAGGATGCAGGGAGGCAAACTCACAAAGCCAGATGGGCTACACAGTGAGGGTGAGGGGGAGCTCTAAGATATGTGTGAAAATTAGTAGGATGGTGTGGCACAAACAGTATCATCCAGAAACTCATATGAATGGTACCTATTTATGAGGCAGGTATTCCTCCCCATTCACAATGCGCTCATCATTGTAGCAGGCAATTTTCTGTAGTCCTGTTGAAAAGGCCATTTAAATCTAGCTTTCTTGTTTAGCTCCGGTAGCATTTTATGCTCATGCTCATTTTATGCCTTGGAATAGTCTTGGGATGGAACTTTTTACTCTTTTTATTTAACTGACACTTGCTTGAATATTGTTTTTTTATTTTCAAGTCTTTTGTGCTGGTCAAAGCACTAGAAATGGAAGAAGAAAACTCCAGTTCACATTCACGTGACTCCCAGAGTTGTGACTAAATATTGAAGGCTTGCAATATATTTTTCAATGTTGATAATATATGTTTTGGAATATATGAAATTGTGTGCATGCATAAAGACATTATACATGTGGACACACATATTCTGCATATAGGAAATCACAGAGATAGAAACAGAGACACAAATGTTAATGTATTAATGGTAGCATCACACTCCTGCAATATGGATGGTAGCACAGGGGTACAAGCGCTTGCAATATATTTTTCAATGTTGATAATATATGTTTTGGAATATATGAAATTGTGTGCATGCATAAAGACATTATACATGTGGACACACATATTCTGCATATAGGAAATCACAGAGATAGAAACAGAGACACAAATGTTAATGTATTAATGGTAGCATCACACTCCTGCAATATGGATGGTAGCACAGGGGTACAAGCAAAACCTTTCTATCTCCTGAGTGACTACTGGTATATAAGGGAACAGTATAAGAGGAAACAGACTTTGCAGAAGTGGGTACAGATTCAGTGGAGTTTTTTCATTTGATGTGAAAATATGGTTGTGTACGGGCAAATCTTTTTGACTGCTGTCTCTGAAAAGTATACAAGCTTTAACTGGATTAGCAGTCAGTTTTGATAGAAATATTGTTATGCAAATGTATTTCTAACAAAAGGTGTTCTGAACGATGGCTTTCAGATTTGTTATTCTGTCTTTATAGATCTACAAATGGGGAAAAAGCTAAACCCAGAGTATGAAATGAGGATTTCATTAATACTGTATTGTACCAAAGGTTACAGCAATACTGAGTCTGTGTATGAGGGGTAGCTGAATAAGGAAAAGAAATGGATTAAAAATATAAAGGTCCAAATCCTTACTTTTATTCTGGAGCCCTCGGTCCGTAACCATCAAACCTGCATTTCTTACCATATTCTCATACTTCATTTTCAACTTGGACTATAATTTCTAGGAGGGATATACATAACAGATAGGCACTGCAGCAATGATGATTAATAACAATAATGAGTAACTCTAATAAATCATGGATCTGTTGGGGGGGTCCAGTGTACCTAGGAAAGTTATGGCTAGCATTTATTCTAGCTCTAAATCCCTGTAATTCTGAGGATGCTGCAATTATTTAAACTGACTTCACTTTTTGAGAGTTCATATTGTCACGTAGTTTGTAAGCATAGTGACTTTCAACTTTTGTAGGTTGTTACCACTTAATTATTGCAGGTGTCTCAAAAACACAGTAAGTAAGTGTAAAATATTACAGAAGAAAGTTAAACCAAGATAAGATTTCTATTTGATTTATAAGCAATAGAGTTTGGAACACTTTTTTTAATTTTTTTTTTTTTACACGCACATCAAAATAAGTAAATAAAATTAAATACTCACTCCTGTTATGTAACGAGGTCTATACTGGATGGTTCCAAATAAGCCAAGTATGACTATAATAATGTGTATAAAATTTGCCAGGATGGGCGCCCACTGATAACCAAGGAAGTCAAATATCTGCCTCTCGAGCACAAGAAACCTATATTAAAAAGCAAAGGCATAAATAGATTAGAACAGACCAGAAAACATCTGTTAGGGCATTTCCCCTTCCCATACCCAAGCTAATTGCCCTGAGTTAAAAAAAATACTTCTGTCAGCAGTAAAATGAATGAGTTTGCAATGTTTCACCTTGTTTTAATGAAAGCTGCATTCCTCACTGACAGTTTACTGAGTTATATTCAGTTAGCTAAAATATTCATATGGGCAATTCTACCGAGATACTAAACCGTTCACTAGGATGGTATGTTTGCAGGAGGAGAAACACAAATCATTTTGTTATATACACCAGCAAATGCTATAACGTTCTAGGGTATCGGTGCTGAAAATAAGTGGCAGGCTTATGACATCTTCTCAGCTACTTCGCTCCCATTCACAAACACCATCCTTCAGCCTAGTCCTGTCTCTGTACTTCCATTATTTCCCTACCTTTTGATTTTTTCTCTTCCCTCTATCCCCAGCTATCCTGTCAGTGGGGTTTTACCAGTAAACAAATGCATGCAACTTTTTGACCTGGTTCTACTGATAATGACTCTAGTTTACCTCCTCCCACTGTCACAAACATCAGCTGAAGTATAAGCTGTTACACACGACTCTCTAGATACTCAATTTTAAAAAGTGAATTAAGGCACAATCTTGGGCTGTTGATGACTGTTTTCAAGCAATAACATTCCAAGCAGATAGATCAGAAAGTAGAAAAACTGCATTTCTAATAGTATCAGTAGAAATCATTTCAGAATTCAAATAGTAGGTGTCCCGTAATTGGTGTTCAGACATTATATCAAAATACAGCACTGCACCCCAACCCATAGGCAGAACGGCATGTTTTGATAAAAATAATATTTATGTGAATATTAGAAGGCAATGTAATGGTGAAGTGAATTTAAACAGAAAGGGTAAGGAGTTTCTTTGACACCATTCCAACAATTTCACTAACTGGAACGATGAATAGATGCGTTTCATGAAAGTGTGAATAATAAAAATGAAATAAAAATAAAAATAATAATGACAACAACAACTACGCTGACACCACACACACAAAAGAAAGAAAGAAAAAGCAGGCTGTTTCTTTGTAAAGTTACATTAAATGACAGGTGACTATTTACTCAATTTATATTATACTGTGGATTAATTGAATTAGGTGTATCTGCCACACACTGCATTCATTTAAAAAATAACACCTTTTGAGATCAAGTACTCAATGAATAATTAACTACTGTTCACCATTGTTCTTGCATGATATAGTTATGGGAGAATTTTTCAATTTTCATGCTGCAGTCCACTGTCACACCAACAATTTCTTTTTGAAATTAAGTAAGAAAACTTGCCATTAAAAAGCCAGCCTACGCTTATACCAGCACTGCAAATCCAAAGAGTGTTAATTATATAGTACTTACTGGCGTATGTTGAACTTTAAGATAGAGATTCTCAAAATAACCCTGGGGAAGTTTGTCAGCCATATCATTTTGAATTTGAAAGTTGTGTTTCATGTCAACCACTGAATTCCTCTCTACAACAAAGATTCCTTTCACACAATGCATCCAGCTTATAGGCAGTCTTGGTATTTTGCCTAGCATTTTATTTTACAGATTTATTGACAGAAAGAGATTCTGGTCCTACTCATCCAAGATCTTAATGAACTGATTTGTGCTATCCTACAACTCTCCCTAGCAAAGCAGCATTATGGAAGAGTTCCCAGAATCCCAAGACATAATATTCTAATAGTGAAAATGTGATGAAGAAAGAAAAGGAGGGCCAAGCTTTATTAGGAACTTCATGAAATCTCAGACTCCCTGTGCTTCTAAGTTTATCATTAAGAAATATTTCCTTGACTACTGACATAGTCATTTATATAAAAAAGACCAACATGTGGCATAAAGCGGTATTATGTAGGTCCGTGTGAAGTCTATTAGAGGTATCAGCAAAAGACCTGCTACGCCTAAAGTGCTGTTAAACAGGTAACAAATGGAAAACACTAAATCTGAGCACAGAGCTCTTATTTTCATCAGCTGAACAAAGAGTAAATGACAATAGCAAAGCAGTAGCAAAAAGAGTCTAGACTGTACAAGCTTCTAGTATAGTAACAGTAGGGATTCAGCAAGCAAAAAAATACAAGGGATGACGCAAATCATTCAACTAGTAGGAAATCACAGTTAAGTATGCCAATTATAGAGGAAAATTGCAGCACAGTAGTTGATTATATAAAAAAGTACAAAACCTAATATTCCTGCTGCACCTTTAGGTTAAAAGGAAACTACACTATCACACATCAAGCACGTTTTGTTTTGGGTTTTTTTTACTTTTTTTCAGTAAAAGATGCAGTAGTTCCACTAAACTTGTTTATGGGGCTGTGCTGTGCAAATCTTCACTTCCCACACGCCAATGTACTTCTTTTTGTTTTGATGACTATTTCTTCAGTACCAAGCAGCCACTCCCTCAGATTTTGTGGCCACGTTGAAACTTCAGGTGGGGGGACCTAGCGGAAAACATGGCACACAAAGCAGTGTGTAAATATTGGTTTTGCAGAACAAGGAGTCAAGTCTGCACCACCTCTGTCCCTGTGTATCTACCTCATGTTTGCCATAGGCAGACTTGCTATTAGACTTTCTCCTGTCACTCCAAGGAATCAGCTGTTTGTGGGGACTGCTGGATATGTGAAATGGCAGTGTTCTGGTAAGCTGTGCAGAGATAAAATGCTGCAAAAACGCAGCTGCTGTTCCTTAGAAGATCAGACTACTGCAGCAAGGTGCATTGCAGATTTATCAAATAGAAAATATAGGACAGAACTAGATCTTTATTCCCACTTCCTGAAGAGATGAAGGTGGAAAGAAAATAAAAACAACCCACAAACAAACAGAAAACCAATATGGACTTCCTACATGCAGTTACTCAAAAAAAGATCTCACTGGGTCTGTGTTTCTAAAAGGGGAAAAGTGAAAAGTAGGACAAAGTACCAACAAAATCTATTAAAAACAGTATTGGGTAGCTTCCTCCTCTTCCACAGATGCCATAAACATAAGGGATTTCCTTACATAGCAAAAGAAAATATAGACCTGATTTTGAAACTTTTTTTTTCCCTTGACTGTAAAAACTTAAAATTTTTGGTTAAACAACTGCACTTCTTTCTCCAAATCATATCCACCAGCTTCAAACGTTTAATGATGTTTCAAGGACATTACAGAGAGAAAAGAAAAGGTCTGACAAAGAAATATTCCTCTTTAAAGTCTAGGAATAAATAAAGAATTGTCTGTTTTCTTTCTTCTTCTTCTGAACAAGAAATGAGAACAGGAAAGAGGAAAAATGGATGCTTTGGATGAAAAAGTACACTATGGTAAGAAAAGAAAAGTATGTTTCAATTCAAGTCCATTTTAATAATGCAGTGAACCCAAAATGTAGAGTTATGGAGAGTCAGTTCCTAATGTTTGCAAATAAACATCCACCAGATCATCTTCTTAGGCTTCCAAAAAAATAAAATATCATAGACAGATTATCTTATGTAATCACTGATAAAATTATAGAAGAGTTACATGTAATTACAGTGAACCATTTTTACTAATGCATTATTTTTTTCCAGACTTCTGCCGTTTTAAAAATAAATACAAAATAAAATCAGCCTGTATACTGTCAAGTTGGAATAGCTCAAACTATTTCCAGATTCTTGTCAGAGGCTGGTTGTTAATAGGTTAACAGTGTTACTGACCTTGAGGGAGCTAAGAATTGAATTTCCAGAGGATAAAGAAAACCATTTTGAGATGATTCTTAAAGTATATAATTGGACTAAAATTTCAGACAGGAACCACAAAGGAGAAACCAGTCAAAAGATGATTTATAACACAAACTCCAAAATGGAAAATTACAAAGCGCTTTTCCTCGGAAAGCTCCTTGAGAAGAAACCCAACCACAACTACCTCACAATGATACAGAATCAAAACTTTGCATTGATATAAATTAAAGTGCACGCAGGCACACACATACAAGTGGGTATGTACGGCCCCCGCCAGCCAGGGCCCTTGGGCAGCACAGGGGCACCCAGTGCACTGGGGTCACACTCAACTGACGGACTCACCAGCTGAATCATGGTAACAGGCTCTCAGTTTACTCCAAAGGAAGAAGAGAGTATTAGCTTAAATCGCAGTGAAGGAGAATTAAGCAACCGTGGTTTATATCATGACTGGCTACGAATGAGCTACGGAAATTAAGCTCTAATCAGTAACTCATTAAGTCCCCTCAGCTCAATTGTGTTGCATCAGATGCCCACAGCTTCTAATCATTTGCTTGTGTTTTTAAGTTAGAGATATAGTTTTTTAACGACTTTCAGTTCTTGGTTCTATGGCATAGGAAGTTAAAAAGAGCCCAGTAAATACAAGTATTTTGGGGCTGTGGCTTATGAAAGAATTCTAATGCTAAAGCCTACCTGCATCACATACAACATCCCCAGCTAACCCTCCCCCAGCACTTCCACCATTTTGAGGCAGAATGCATATATTTGTGCCATTCCTTAGAGAGGTTCATTTAATTTTTCATCAAAATTTCAGATAGTATCCTGAGATACAGGGCCCAGCTACTCAACAAATTCTCCACAGTTACCCAGCAGAAAAACAGAATAATATTTTGAAAGTCAAATCCATACAAAATACACCTACACATCTGCAAGTGTGCATGTGCATGTGAGTCAAGTCCTTTACTGCAAGACAGCAGAGAAAGAAAAAAAGATTTGAATTTTTTTTGTAAGAAGAAAAGCAAAACTAAAATGAAATTCTGTGGAGAGCTGTGGATACAACGGTGTTCTCAGCACATCTAATAAAAACCATCACAAGCACAGGTAATTCAAGTTAAAATCAAGAAGGAATTAGTTTCCACTTGTCCATTGGTTCCTTAAAGGAATCACGTATATAATTCTAAGCCCCTGTCCTTAATCCGTTTGATGCTGCTGAGAGAAGGAATAGGCCTTCACTGCGCTTGATAAGAAGGTAATCA